ACATATTGATAAGAGGGTTCTGAGCCCACGGTACATTGTTATGTGGAGTTGGAAGATGGATTTAAAAATCACTACTGACAATACATTTTTATGTTAGCAAATTTTCATCAGGACCCTATCTGCATAACTTGGGTTGAAGACACCTATGTCCTGGGAATCTCCTGACTCCTACAGAATAAAGGTTGGGATAAGCGAAAACATCTTGAAACCGAAGATAGGAGGAAACACAGAAATGGGGAGAGAATGAGCGCATTTGTGAGCACTGGTCCGGAACAGGCAGGTTGAGAGGCCAGACTGTCAACTGAGTGAAATCTCAATTACAGAGTAATCTAACGTATACCCAGGTACATTATCGCAACTCAATAAACAGCTCTTCAGAATTAAGTAATTCCAATTTGCTTTCATTCTGATCTGTGTCACCCCGAGAATTTGATATTACCTACACTCAAATTACATGGCATCTTCTAAAGCCCAGATGTTCACAATCCCAGGATAGCACATGAACCATAAGCCAGCCAGCCATAAACACACTGACTGAGAGAAAGACATTGCTCGACGTGGTGCAAGCACCTGCTATGAATACCATCAGAGGGGCCCCTATCCAGCTCCTGACGCCCTGTGACCTCCCAGCCCCAGTATGGCACATTCTGAATGGATGATGCCATGTGGTCAGATGGCTGAGCCCAAGAAGGACCAGCTAACTTCTCCTTAGTTCCCAGATTCCTGGCTCACCAGTGGTGGGTAGAGGAGGGGACACGGGGAGCCTGACCTAGCATGGACCCCATGACACAAACTTCCCAAGCCCACATGTCAACACCCACTTTTATATTTCCACCCTCCCTTTCCCTATGCTTGGCACAGGACTGTATGGGGAGAGACCACCAGTGGCCCTCTGCAGAGGAGGACCACCACCCCAGCCCTTCACCATCTCTTACCTCCTTACCTGGGAAATTACACCAACCTCGGCAAGTTATTTTAACAAACGCTTCTAGGGCAATGGGCCAAGCACTGCTCTAAGAACCTCTACACACACTGTCTTCTTGAATCCTCTGGACACACACCACTCTGAGGTATGGAATCCTATATTCCCATTCCTAGATGAGCCAGTTGATGCTGGAAGAGGTTGATGTTCAAGGTCACAGAGCTGGGACGAGATGGGGCCAGGATTTAAACCCACATATCGGGGCTCTAGAGTTCTTTCCTGTCTCTGAATTGGAATGAAGTAAAGAAAATCTGGAGAAAAACCTGCCCAGGGGTGGTTTTCCTCCTGTGACATGCCTAGGTCAGCTGCCTGCTCCCCAGCTCACATCACCTGGGTGATGTGTAAACCAGGATGCAAGAAACTCAATTTGGATAGCAGCACCATCCCCTGGGAGAAGACTTAGCCCTTGAGAACACTTTTGTTTTGTTTTTCCAAATTTCCTCCATTTCCTGAAAGAAGGAAGATTTATGTTTATTCCTTGTTGTTTTTTGTTTTGTTTTGTTTTGTTTTTTTTACAAGTGCAAATATTTCATCAGTACTAAAGTATCTAACCATCCTGCTAAGTCATGGCAAGGGGTGGTAATGGGCCAGTGAGTCATTCTTCATAAGACACTTTCCCCCCAAATGCTCTGGTTTGCTGCCTTCCCATGGGTTCCTGGCCAGACATCCAGGGTGACAGGCCTCCTCTGATGAGGCTTCCAATGATTCCTGCTGCTCTGGGCATCCCCTGCCTTTCATTTTCTTATTTGGCTCGGTTACCACTAGCTATGGGTGGGTGGGTGGGTGGGTGGGTGTGGGTGTGTGTAAAAAGGGTTAAATTCATTTCTCTGGGAACCTGGAAGGTAGTAAATACTCCACTCCAGAGAGGTGGGGAGCAATGATGGGAGAAGCATGAGTTAAAAGGGCAAGTTAGCAACAGGTCCAGAGATTTGTCATGAGCTTTGCATGCAGTCTGGACCCTTTCAACACTGTTTATAACATCATGATACCAGGCGCCAACAAGGTTGCACGTGGCCAGTGTACTGCTTCCCCCAGCCCGAACCCCAGCCCAGGGTGGAGAGCCCACAAAGGATAAACCACTGTCCCAATAAACCCTGGCCACCCCTCCAAACAAAGGCAATGATGCTCCCCCATGGAAATCGCATCCTCAGCCCCAAAGCCCTCCGGATTTGGCGTCCCACACCTCCTCCTCCTCAACAAGGGATGTAAAGGAAGAATAAACCCAGTGCTTTCCGGTTCCATTGGTCTGTGTGGAAAGATCAGAGCCCTCCAGCAGTGGCCACAGTCACTCATCCCGTTATCTCCCTCCCAGCCTCGTGCCGGGCACCTGCAAGGTGCAGGCGAGCCCGTGGAGGGCGTGAGCGGATACAGTCCATCCTCTGGTGGGTTCCCACTCCAGTGTGTGAGGCCACCATGGAAGAGGTACGATGAACTTCCAGAGGGGGCAGCTCTGGAAATCACAGATTCACTGAGTGCCTGAGAGGCCTGCAAAAGGCTGCTTCATCACAGAAATCAATCTAACGGCACAAAAAAAGCAAATATATAAGCCTAATGCAATGGAAATGATGGTTTCTTTTATATATTAATGGCTCTCAATGTAAACGATTTTAAGATGGTTTTTTTTTTTTTCCCCCTGTTGGTTGTTTTGTTCATGACTGCTTAATTTGTTGATCTTCAGCTTAACTGTTCATGGTTTTATGGAGATGAAATGAGTTCCTGCTGAGGCCAATAATTCATTCACTCATCCATCATTCAACAAGTATTTTAAGCTTGAGCCTTATGAAATGACCAACCGTGCAGGTCCAAATGGCTGAACGCCGGTGGTTTCATATTTGGGTGTGCTCGGGACTCATGCCAAGCACTTGGCTAAGCCTGGGGGGACTTGTACAACATGAACCAAACCAAAAAGTGCCCCTATTCTCACAGTGCTCATGTTCTAAAGGACAAGATGGAAAATTACCAAGAACACGAATAAAGGAAAAATGTAATTTTGAAGTGTGGTGCTACGTAGAACAAGGGACAAGTGACCTGATAGAAAACACCCAGCTGGGGTTGGGGCTGGGGATATCCCCTTGGAGGGATGGCATGACAACATTCAAGCTAAGACCTGACTGATGATAAACAGTCAGCCATGTGAATATCCATCTAGAGTCAGGACACCCCAGGAGGGAGAATCTCAGACTAAAGCTCCCACCCCCCACCACTCCAGCAACCCTCAGTTTGTTTCCTGAGATTAAGAATTCCTCATATCAGTGAGATCATATGATACATGTCCTTCTCTGATTGACTTATTTCGCTTAGCATAATACCCTCTAGTTCCATCCATGTCGTTGCAAATGGCAAGATTTCATTTTTTTTTTATGGTGGGGGGTGGGAGGGATGGCGTAGCTGGGTGATAGACACTGGGGAAGGTATGTGCTATGGTGAGTGCTGTGAATTGTGTAAGACTGATGAATCACAGACCTGTATCTCTGAAACAAATAATACATTACATGTTAAAACAAAAAAAAAAAAACAAAAAAAAGAAGATAGTAGGAAGGGAAAAATGAAGAGGGGGAAATCGGAGGGGGAGATGAACCATGAGAGACTATGGACTCTGAGAAACAAACTGAGGGTTCTAGAGGGGAGGGGGGGTGGGGGGGGTTAGCCTGGTGATGGGTATTAAAGAGGGCAGGTGTTGCATGGAGCACTGGGTGTTATACACAAACAATGAATCATGGAACACTACATCAAAAACTAATGATGTAATGTATGGTGATTAACACAACATAATAAAATAAAATTAAAAAAAAAAAAAAAGACTACAGCTCCCAGTCTAGGTTCAGGCAGGGCTACCAACTAGAGGTCAAGGGGCCAGCAACTAGAGGTCAAGGCCCTCACACCAACCCGTCCTTTGACCAAGGAAACCAACTCAGGAGACTTCCAGGGAAGGGGGAGGCGGGGAGGGGGCGTCGATCCATGTTTTCACCTTCATACACACCAAGTATCATTCCACAGCTGGCATAAGAGGAATAGCTTCATTATTTCATTTACTAAAGTAATGCTATATTAAAATTTTAATCGGTGAACATAACGCTGGAAAATGAGTACATCCATACACTGCAATTTTCCAGTGTAAACTGTCAAACCCATTTTTTTTTTTTTTTTGCAAAAGCAATATTGCAACACAAAGAAAAATCCATAAAGATGCCGGTATTCTTTGCTCTACCAACTCTACCCCTAGGGAATTTATCCAAGGAAATAATCTGGTTCAATAGAATAAAAATATTCTCTTTAGAAGAACTCCATTGAGGTGTTAATTGATGCAGAGGAAAGATAAAACAAAAACCAAAAACACCTGGAATTACCTAAATGACGACAAATAGGGAGAATTTAAGAAATGGGGGGGACTCACTTGATGAAACAGTATACAACCATTAAGCATTACAACAGAGATTATCTAGACTTTCAAAAATAAATGGGATATCCCAGCCCTTGGAAGGAGCAGAAAAGGCAACAACGTGCATATTTTAATGTAAAGCATGTTGACAATACCTCAAGGTGAACAAGAACAAGAAAACTGGAAAGAATTGAATCAAAGCCAGTGGGGGGGGGTATTTATTTCAAAAGTCCTTCCAAAATATTGCCATTAAATCGCATTTTCAGTTAAAAAAAAAAAAAAAATCCCTCAGAAACTATTGTACACTCTCCTAACAAGGCAGAAGACCACCACCGAAACACAAGGACGTTGGTTCAAACTTTAAATGCAAAATAAAGCCAAACCTGGAGATGCCTTCCATGTTGTATACCCCAGAGGTTCCCACAGGTGGACCCTACAATAAGACTCAACTTGTTGAATAACAATGCCATATGCATGATTTTACAGTAACTCCACCTCTTTCTCTGCAGGGTAGGAATGGGGGACTGGAAAGGGTGTGTCTTTCCACTGAGATGAGAAGAGGCACCTGGATTCCTCCCACCCTCTGAGGGTGGGGCCAAGGCAGCCGGTGAAATCAGCCCCGTGGGACGGGCCACTCACCTTTCACAATCAGCTCGGCATAGTTGGACACACCGGAACCACCGTCGGAACGGATCACACAGCGGTACTTGCTCACACTGCGATGGGCGGTGTCGGCCACGCTGACCGTGGCTGAGAAGCGTCTGTGGTTGACCACGCGGGTGACCATGAGGGCCGTGTCCCTGCCGTTCCATTGCTGCAGGACAGAGGGAGGGAGGAGGAGAAATCACATCACCTTACAGCCCCCGGGGACCCCCAGCTCGGAAGCTCCACCTGTCCCCACATCCCTGGGGCCATGGCTTTCCTTAAGAAGGAGTATCGATGGCTGGCTTTTGCAAGTGATCTGACTCAAGTGTAAACTTTGCTAGCGAGCTGATTCAGGAGGGCAGAGCCTGAGGATAAGAAGAGAGGGCACAGGCCTCCTCCTGACACCTTGGTTCCCTGCTTGGCCTGAGCTTGAGGCTGGCATTTGGCCCTGAGCCCTCCTCCCATCTTCCTTCATCTCTTAAGCAGAACCCACAAGGTTCCCCCAAAGACAGACTCAGATAGACTACTGAAAATATAACCCATGAAGTGACAACAAACAGCCTGGCCCTCAGCCCATGGCTGGTGCCCTCATACCCCACCCACAGGCCCTGAGGGACCTATCTGTCTCCAGGCGTGGTGTGGATGGTGGCTTCCCAGCACCTCTCCTCCTTGGCATTTGCTTTTTCCTCAGCCTGGAACCTCCCATCTGCCTGGGGTCAGTCCCTCACCCTTAAAAACTCACGCTCAGCACATTGCCGTCTCCGGTAAGTTCGCCTGTCACACCACCTTCTAGAAGCTATTTACTCTCTACTGGTTTTGTCGTTGTTGTTTTGGGGTGTTTGTTTGTTTGCCTACACGTTTCCCCCTTTAGACTAGACTCGGAGCTCCACGAGGGCATCCTTTAGCCCCTTTTCATCTCCAGCACTGTGCCCAACTTCCCAACTTGGTAAACATTTCTAGAATCAAAGTGAATGCACAAGCGTTTTTGTCTATACTGTGCTGAATCTCAGGTGTGATATTCTGAGTCTGAATGAGCCCCTTCTATAGCAGCAGCAAGCAATGACAACTGGTAAGGTACATGCTTGAGGATACAGCCTGAGTGACTATTAAAGCACCTTCTATGAGCCAGACCCTGAATCTCCTTTTTAATCCTCCCAGCCTTGTTTGAGGTATTACTGCTGCTCTCCTTAGCAGAACCCAAATGTCAGTGTGGCTGAGTACATATGTAGAGCAAGGAAGTCCCTTATCCAGCTTTTCCGACTTCGGGTCAAGCATCTTTTCACTGAGACCCTATCCTCACTGCCTTTATTTCGTTTCCAAAAGTAAAATTGAGTGTTTTAATTATCTAGTTGGATTTCAGGAAACTTTAGGATTTAGGAGCTTCTCCACAACTGAAAACTTCCACGATGCAATCTTCATCCCTTCCTGTCCATAGTAAACACCTCCAGCACACATATGACCTGCTTCCATCCATCCACGCTCCCATCAGCGACGCGTCAGGCCTGGGACATGGGAGGGGGTAGGACTCCAGGGCTCAGCTGTCCCAAGCCAATGAGATGGAACAGCAGGGAGGGCCGGGAGCAAACAGCCAAGAAACACGGGGAAACCAAGGCCTCTGTGTGACTTGCTCCAGACTGGACAGGGAGATTGGAGGGGCTGGCTTTCTTCTTTTTACTTTTTGGCATTCTCTAGACTTTCTGCCTTAAACACTGCTTTTATACTTGAAAAGAATAAAGGAACTAAAGGAAATGCCAGACTTAAAAGCATGGCAGGAGGAGGGGCAGCCATAACCCCCTCCCATTCCGGAAACTCTGCAACAGGCCGGGACAAGAACAATGCAAGGGAACTGAAGGGAGAAGTAACTGGGGCGGAAACCGCCCACCACCTGCCTCATGCCCGGGTATGTTTTTGCAAGAGATGGTACAACTCGCTCAAACTCTGAGAACTGACGACCCCAGACACAAGTCCCTGTCCCAAAATATGCAGTGAGGAAGTAGAGGAAATCCTGCCAAATGCCAGGAATGTGACCTGATCTGAGGAAAAGTTGGCTGAAGGCATAGAAAGGCCTCGGAAGAGATGGGTCACCAAACCAAACCAAGCCCATTTTCTCCTCACTGCTGAGCAGTCCCTTCACACCTGGAAAGGGAGCGATGAGGCTCTGGCTGGGTATTTTCTAACCTGATTTATTTATAACATCATAAAGATTTTGATCTTTCTTAAGTTGACAGTGAATAAGCACTACTGTGGGCTAAGTGTTTTACATTCCTTCTTCATTAATTCCTCACAAAAATCTGTGAGGGGGGCCCACTTCTTACCTCCGTTGTATATATGAGGAAGCCGAAGCTCAGAGAAGTGATCTGCCTGCCCAGGCTTGCACAGCTTGGAAGTGGCAGAGCTGGTATTTGAATGCAGGCCACCGGGCATCAGCACTTGGCCCAAAGATACCATGTGGTGCTCTAACGTGGGATGACTACTCCCCACCCCTCACCTCCTCTAGCACACTCATTCCCACATGTGGAGAAGAGAGTGTGGCCAAGAGCTACCTATGAGCCACCAATTTCTTAGCTAAGGAACATCCCCCCCCTCGCAAAAAAAAAAGGGAAAGACAGGGGTAGAGGAAGCAAAAATGCCTACATCCCAGCCAGACAGCTCATCAGACACAGGGCTTTTCCTCAGACCTCCAATGCTTTGAACAGCTAAGAAATTTACTTGGGAGATAAGAAGACACAGAGCACGAAGCCAGCACATGAACTCTACAGACCATCACCTAAGAAGTGAGTGGAGAACGAAAAGTACTAAGAAAGAAAATAAACCTCAAAAGAATTACGGGAAACAAACAAGGGCACCATTTGCAGGATTCAAAATAGTGCTAGAAGTGAACGGCAGACTCAACACTGCAGAAAAGAACTGACAGCTGGAGGCAGGGGTGGGGGGAGGCTTAAGAAAATAACCCAGATTGCCAAGAAGGCACCGATAAAAGGAGAGGAGGGAGGCAAACTGAGGAAGAAAACAGAGATCAGACAACATACCAGATAAGTATTTGGTACGCATGAAGATGGGAGCTTAGGGAATGGAACACAAATTCTATCCTAAGTCATATCAGCTCACCTGCCTGGATGAAAACAAGACCCAAACCTTTAGACTGAAATGGCCTACCATTCACTTGACAAAATTTATGAAAAGCACAACAATTGAGGTACGCATTTTACTTCACAAAAATATTAGATGTTAAGGATAAAGAAGTATATAAAAATCTAGGCAGGAAAAAAAAAAATACTGTGCTGAAAACGCCTCATCTGCAACTGCTCCCAAAGCCCAGACAACCTCTGTCCTGGATGTGGCTGGTCCCCCAGTGGTCACAGCTGAGCTCCCAGGAGGCTAGATACTTGAGAGAGGCCAGGGCAGGAGCTAGGGAAAGATGGGACAGGAAATGATAATAAAACAAAAGCATACAAATGCCCAATATGTGCAGCCTTGGGCCCTGATTTCATTTCTCTCAGCTTTGGTTTCCTTACACCATTAATGGATGTGACTTTATGAAGTTCTCGTGATGCATAAATGAGAAAGTGTACAGAGCACTGAGCCCATGATGGCGTATCCTGGTGTGAGCTGAGCTCTCCAAATTAACCACGAAATTAACCATGAAAAGTGGGGTAGGGATAATGGCCCCCCCCACAATGTCCATATGCTAATCCCTGGAAGAACCTGGGACTATGTCACCTTCTATGGTGAAAGGGACTTTGAAGATGTTGATTAAGCTCAGGATCTGGAGATTTGGAGAGGATCCTAGATGATGCAGGTGGGCTCAATGTAATCACAACGGGCCTCATATGAGAAAGACGGAGGAGGGTCAGAGTCAGAGACAGGACATGTGGTGACAGAAGCAGAGGTCAAAGTGACGTGACTGATGGCTTGAAGATGGAGGAAGGAACCAGAACCAAAGAATGCAGACAGCTTCGAGAAGCTGGGAAAGGTAAGGGAGCATATTCTCCACTAGAGCCTCTAGAAGGAATGCAGCCTGGCCAACACCTCCATCTAACCCTGTAAGATTCATTTCTGACTTCTGATCTCCACCACCGCAAGGTAATAAATTCGTGTTGTTTTAAGCCACTAAGTCTAATTTGTTACATCAGCCACAAGAAACTAACAAACAGCAAAGAGCCAACTAAGTGCAAAACATTCATTTTTCACATTTAGTTTAAATTTTGTTGGGCGCCTGGGTGGCTCAGTCGGTTAAGCATCTGCCTTCGGCTCAGGTCATGATCCCAGGGTCCTGGGATCGAGTCCTGCATCAGGCTCCCTGCTCAGCTGGGGAGCCTGCTTCTCCCTCTCCCTCTGCCTGACACTCCCCTGCTTGTGTCCTGTCAAATAAATAAAATCTTTAAAAATTTTTATTTTGATGTGACTTCCAGTATTATTTGCTTTTCTTCCTAATGATGTCACATTCCAACAAAAACAGAGAGGAGTAATGCATCCCCTGAACCACTCACATTTTTCTCTTTAGTTCCTGAACCACCAAGCTTTCTCCCATCGAAGGACAGGAAATTGTGGGTTGTCTTATAAAATCTCTGGAAAATAGGCCTTTTGATAATCACACTTGTCATATTGGGAGCAGGCAAGAGCAGGACAGGAACGTGCAGGAGAGCCCAGAGCCATGATAGGAAATGGCACTGCAATGGACCACCGGCAAGGAGAAATGAAGGTTAAGTTAGAGAGATGAGCTCAGATGAAAGGGCAAGTAGGTGACGAAGGTCAAGGCAAATGAGCAGCAACCAAGGAACTGAGATCAGGAGAGATTCTAGAAGACCAGGCACGGTGACGGGCTCAGTGACCAGAACGCCGTGGCAATGTGAAGGGATTTAACCAGAGGGACTGTGTAAGCAGCCCTGTTAGGCAGGTTCCAACCATGGTCTCAGTCCCAGACACAGGCAGGAAGGGAAATGCAAGGGGAGAGAGGAAGGAAAATGCAAGGGGAGAGAGCAAGGGGAGGTTTCATCAAGCAGGAACAGACTCGGGAATTCCAGGTTCACAGGCAACTGAGCGGGTTTGAGTGGGCACAGGGAGGGGTGGAGCGGGCAGGGTGCCAGGAGCCCCAAATGGACCACAGCCCAGAGACAAGGTGGAAGAGTAAATCCTCCCAAGCAAGACGCCAGGTGCCACGTACATGCA